TCGTATTTTTTGAGATGGAAGGGTGATTAACCATAAATCCTGCAATAAGAGACTTGCATAGTGGGTGTGGGGAATTTGTTGTTCCTCTCCCATGTCTGGAACCAGTGGTGTCACCTTAGTCAAATGCTGAAATTCTCCTGAGTAAATCAGCTAAGAATAGCAAGATTGGTGTGGAGTTGCACTGTTATGATTTATTAATACTGTATGTTGTCCTGGTGATTGGGGTACTGTATTACTATATTGGGTTAACTCAACAGGGATGTTGGGAAAACAAGCAAAAAGTGGAAACAATGGTTCATAGTAAGCCACCCACAGTAAACACTTGAGGGTTGTTACAAGATAATGGCAGAACCATTGACTTTGAGGAGTCTGGCTTGACCTCTTGTGGAGCCTACAAAACTGGTTCAGACAAGAAGGACAAAAGCCTGGAAACTCACAAGAACAAAGGATCCCTGGTGGGTTTTAAAGGGACTCCCTCTCTAGAGTTGTTGTTGAGGAGCTGTAAGTCTGTCTATATGGGCATTGCTGGGGCATCTGAAGAAGTTAGGTCTGCCTAGGCTATCATGAGGCATGGGAAGCAATATAGGTACACCTGCATGTAGATTGTTGTTTTAAAATCCTTTTATCTAAATGCTTTGTTTGTACTGTTGAAATTAAACAAGACTTTGGTTTAAGAAGGCTATGTGGTCGCTATACTCACTTTTGGTCACAAACTCTTGAAGGGAAGAACCTTAGGTGCCAGAACCCAATCAGACCTGCAGGGTAAGCACAGTCAATCCTCCGAATACTGAAGTCCAGGGCCCATTTTGCAAGTTGGAGAATCATATGATTCCATCCCAGAAGTGGTAAAGGTCCGAGGCCTAAGACCTGAGGGGGTGCACACAGAAAGATCAGGAAGGAGACATTGGAGCAGCTAGCCCTGAAAGTGTTACTACAATTAGTTATTAATGAGACAGGATGGAGTGAACCAAGGGGTACACTAGAGTTATTGCTGAGAGGTGATGGAATAAGTCAAGGAGCTTGACAATTGAACAGAAAAGTCCAGCCAGGAAGTGCATTCTTTTTCTTAATATACTGCATCTGGAGGTTCCAGCTCGATTGGCTAGCACAGAGAAGAGGATTACTGTTTATATGGCAATTTGGGTTTTATTTTGCATTTTATTACAATGAACCTAGTAGTGGGGGGTGTTTATTAAGTTAATGATTTTAAGGCCAGATCCACTAGGATGCGCCAACTGGTCTGCACTGCTCCAATGATGAAAAGCAGCAATAAACCTGGTGTAACTGGCCAGTTAAGCTGAGTTTATGGCTGTTTTGCATCACTGAAGCAGCACAAAGCAGCCAGAGTATACTGATGAATGTGGTCCTTAAAGTCTACTGGGAATTACAGATAGGAGATCATGTTTAGCATCACTATACTCAAGCAATCATAAAAAGAAATGATTGTAACCTTTTAAGAACCAGGATGAAATACTGGCTCCTCTGAAGTCAAAGATAAAACTCCTATTGACTTCAGTTGAGTCAAGATTTCACCTAATAATGAGAGGTTTTTTCCCTTTTAATTGTCAGTACTACAGTTGTAAATATTGACCACATGCTTGGTTTCAAATGGGCTTGACAGGCAAGAATAATTGAAAACGATGGGAATAAAGAACCATGCCTATAGCTACGTCTAGGATGAATTCATATTTTCCTCACTACTCTGATCTGAACCAGAAAAGACTTTCAGAAGCTATTTGTGTTGGTCTTTAATCATGAGGAACTCAGTGTTAGTTTTTACTGAAAATTCTCAGCCTGCTTTTTCCATCACCTCAGCTAAAAGGAAATGAATGTCTAGAACCTGGATGTTTTCCAGCCAATTTTCTTTCCATATCTGAAGGCATCTCATGTTCATGAAGCCCCTAAAATGCTATTGTGATCAAAATTATACAGTTTTAGATTTGGGTAAATAATAAATCCTGGGGATGTGTGCAGGTCTTGACATTGGGATATGTTTGGGTTTGTGTTCGTACCTGCCTGATTTAGTTTTTTCTTCTGGAGGAGTGTAAAAGAGGTGGGGTCTTACTGAAAGAGAGACAAAGGCCTTTTGAAGCGTGTAACTAATTATTTATATCCCTCATCCCAGGCTCAATGCTTTTACTCATGGTGAGCACAACTCACCGACCAGCCTGTCCTCCCACTGCCTCTCCCACCCTAAACCAGTCCCTTTCTTATGGTCTGTTAGGTAAAGGGAATTAGGTGCTTGACTATCTTTAAAGCTGCCAATTGGATGATGCGTTCAACTTAGCACAAATGTACTCTAGACGCAGAAGCAGCACACGCACCATTGTTCACTTTGCACTTGTCAAAGCCCGGAGCTGTGGTATTATGCACTTTCTAATGTCCAACATCAGGCACCGGGATGTCCAAATCACTGCTGTTACCAGCACACTGATTGCTGCCACAAATGGCATGCTGACAAGGCGAACAAAGCACACTGCTCAGAATTGTAAAGAGCTCTAAATCTCCTTCCATCCCCTGACAAGGCTTCCTCTGGCTGGAATCTGGCAGTTCTGGAAAAGTGCCAGGTCATGGCCAGGAAGGGAGCCCAGGCAGAGTCTAGAGATGAGAGAGCCAGGAGAGGCAAAGCCAGCAGTCTCATGAGTCGGCAGCACCAGGAGCCAGTATTATTATTTTCTGCATAAAGTCATTTTAAAGTTACAGTGAAACCCTGGTTAGCTGAAACAACAATGTCCTTCAACAACAGTAGGGTTGTTTTTTTTAAAAAGGCATGGATTATCTATATAGCTTGTTAGCTGATTCTCAATTATCCATCAAGGGTGGAGCCCAGGAAAAAGAGACAGGGGACCAAGTAAGAGGCAAAGTGCCAAGGACTGTGGGGAGAACAATTTAGCATCTGGCGTACCTAAAGTGCTTCAGCTAGATTGCTCCTCTCATGCATCTTGTATTCTGCCTCTTCTCCAGCTTCTTCCCCCTGAACTCCCCCACTTCTGGGTAATAACATACTTCATGTTTACAGTTGGGGAAGCTGAGGGTTAGAGAACTGTGCTTATTTCCCAAAAGTCACACAGGAAATTTGTGGCATGGCTGGGAATTGAACCCAACTTTCTTGATGCCCAGCTCTGTGGTTAACTGTAAGGCCTCCTTGCCTGAAACCTTCAGAGAATCAAGATCGTACTGTACATTGAAAGCTGATAATAATATTAAAGAACAACAAGCTTCTCCGTCCTCTGGGTTTACCCGTATGTCTGTCTATGTCTGTCTAGGTTAGGCCTGCAGCTGGTGGTATGAAGGCTAATTGCTACATACACATGGACCTCCATTGATTTCAGTGGGGGTCCATCCAAGCAGATTAGTCCACGTACATAGGTGCTATCAATAGCAAGATCAGGATCTGTGATTGTAAGGTCCCTGGGTCAGGTTCTATCTCACATTACATCTTGTCGAGTGCTGAGCATATAGTCAACACTACATTAACGACAGTGTTCATGATCACACTTTATATTAAGGGTATATGTGGACATTTATGAATGGTTCATAAACGACTAATATAAGCACGACACATATAGGGGTAGTAAAGGTTATAGATGGTTATAAACATATCAGTAAAAAGGTTTTTAGATTTTATAAACAATTGATAAACGATTCATTCAAATATTATTTTTAAAATATTATTCATTATCTCATTATTTAGAAATGTACCCTTAATATAAAGTGTGATATCATACCAATAGTAATCAATTAATAGATTAAATACCTTGCATGCTTGCTGTTTCTGGTATCACACTGTATAGACAACTACGTTAACAAGTTCCAAATAAACCTCTTAAAGAAAACTAGTTATTTTTATCTAGTGCTCTCCAGTTAAACCAATTTTTGCCTGTTCAGTCCTGTTGAAGTTAAAATAAAGTCTAAATGGTATTTGCTTAAACCTAAAAGGCCCCCAATTTTTCTTTCTTATCTCAGTCCTCTGGGTTATCTTCTTGCTGTCATTACTCACCACAGATAATCACTTTCACACTAGGAAGCACCATGGGTCAGACATGAGCCAAATATTTGGAAATCTGCTTTATTTGCCAAAAAATACACCCAGTTTTGGGAGTGGGAGTTAATAAGCCAATGGACAGAAGCTTTTTACATCCTTTTTACATCCAATGCTCATGGTAGTGCTTACTGTTGTGAGTAAGCCCATTGACTTCAATACTATTCATGGTAAAGTACTATGCCAAGTAGTAAGGGTGAAATCCTGGCCCCACTGAAGCCAATGGAAAAATTCCCATTGACTTCAATGAGGCCAGGATTTCACCCTAAGGGTTTGTCTACACTGCAATTAAACTCCAGCAGCTGGCCAGTGTTAGCTGACTCGGGCTCATGGGGCTTGGATTCATGGGGTTGTTTAATTGCAATGTAGATGTTTGGACTCAGGCTGGAGCTCAAGTTCTGGGACCCTACCCCTTGTGGGCTCCCAATGCCTGGGCTGCAGCCCAAGTCTGAATATGTTCAACTCAGTTAAATAGCCCCTTAGCCTGAGCCCCATGAACCCAAGTCAGCTGGTACAGGCCAGCTGTGGATTTTTAATTGCAGTGTAGACATGCCCTAAGTGTTTCCAGGATCAGGCTCTGCCTTTTTAAAAAGATGAACAAAAATGCTTCTCCTCTGGATAAAACTTACTTTGCTACTCCATTTTCTTGTAGACAGGACAGAGCACACTGGGAATCTCATTACTCAACTCATTACTTTCTTTCATGCACCATGGGGGACAGCTGTTCCATAACATAACAGAGGGCAACCCTTCCCCAGGTGTGATCAAGCTCTAAAAACCTCATCACATCTTACTGTCATATCAATTCCAGATGTCACAGACAGTCCTGTAAATCAAACCAGAGGAAAACTTTTCAGAGAGTGCAGTTTGCAGACAATACACTTCAAACCTTTCAAAAGACTCCAGTTCACATCCCCAGTTCTTCTTTATTTATTTGTGTCTGCTTTTCTTTGTTCAGGTTATATACCGAGCTCTGTCACCACCGTATTCGGCTGAGGATCCGTACAGCGCTGAAGCTCAGGCACAGTTGAAGATCACCAATCTTCGAGTGCAGCTGCTTAAGCGACAGGCCTGTCCCTGTCACGGCAATGACCTGAATGCAAAGCCTCAGCAGTTCATACACTATGCAATCTACGATTTTATTGTAAAGGGAAGCTGCTTTTGTAATGGCCACGCTGATCACTGTGTACCTGTTGCTGGATTTATACCTGTCAAGGCGGCAGGAGTCTTCCATGTGGTATGTATGAGCTGTGTAAGCTTTACCCTAAGAGAGACAAGAAATACAGCAGAGTTGCTTTTTGTTTTCTTGTTTTTATACATAATATTCATAGATTCCAAGGCCAAAAGGGACCATTGTAATCATCTTGTCTGACCTCCTCTATAACACAGGCCATAGAAATTCCCCAAAATAATTCCTACAGCAGATCTTTTAGAAAAACATCCAATCTTGATTTTAAAATTGTCAGTGATGGAGAATCCACCCCAACCTGTGGTAAATTGTTCCATCAGTGGTTAATTACCCTCACTGTCAAAAATGTACACCTTGTTTCCAGTCTGAATTTGTCTAGCTTCAACTTCCAATATAATTTATGTGTATAACCCTAGTCAAATGGTATTCCCCAAAATCAAAACAAACTGAACCAAAGCAATGTTCTAATAAGGGATGGCTTAGTGATCTAAGCATCAGGTTTGAACTACTTTAACTTCCTGGTGCCATAATTGAAAGCTGGGCAGGGTCAATTCAGATCCTCATCCTTTCAAAGAAGATAAATAACTTATCTGCAGTATATTATTGTGTCTCTTTCAGATGAAACCTTAAAAACTAAAGTCACTTCCCGCCCCCCAACCTTCCACCTAAACCCTTACTAAAAAAAGAGGAAATTAATACAATCCAACCAAATAAAACCTACCCAAAGCAGAGTTTAGACTCCCCAGAAGACAGAAGAGACAGAGACTCCATGAAGTCTGCTTGGGATTTTGCTTTGCTGTTACATGGAAGGCACTCAGATACTACAGTGATGGGTGACAATATAAAACCCTAAGACAGATAGATAAGCTAGATGCTGGCTCTATATAGACTTTAAAGTTCGTACAGTACTTCTTGTAAGAGTCAGATTTTTCACATTATTCTACAGCAGGCTGTGCACCAGTTGGCTGCCATCCTCCATCCCAGAGATGGCTGCATATGTGTAGTTTGTGAAAGGTTTGGGGATCCTGTAGCGGCACAGGACATAGCAAACAGATCTGTAAACAGGGGAGTTTCAGTGGGAGTTTGTAAGGGGAGTTTGTATTGTGGTACTTGTTTGGGGTTTGTTTTTGCTGTGGGTGGTGGTGTTTTGGTGTGGTTTGTGTTTCCCAGATTAACAGGATTTAGGTGGGAAGGCTATGACAGATACAGAGGCAGCAGTGGGAGTGACTCATGTAGTGGAAGACACAATGAAGATAACTGGATGTGGAAGCTGCGGTATGTACATGATCCTGGAGGGGGTACCTGGTAAGAGTTTTGTCTGCATGAAATGCCATCTGATAGAGCTGATGGAGGAAAAGATCTGAGGTTTGGAGATGCAGGTGGAAAGTCTGGTTGAGTTTAGAAAGGGGTTCGAGCAGATTGTGGAGCAAAGACATGAGGTATCTGAAGGGGAAAGCTCAGACTTGCAGGTGGAAGCAGGACTGAGGAATTCTGAAGGGAGACTGAGTGAGGAAAGTGGTCAGTGGAAGCATGTGACTTAAAGAACCAGGCAGAGGAAAAGACGGGCTAGTGAAGGAGAAATAGAGCTCAAGAACAGGTTTGCAGAGTTGGAAAATGAAGAAGGGGCTCAGCAGGTAGTCACTGAAGGTGGACAGGCAAGGAAGAAGAGAAGAGTGGCTAATCCTATAGGAAAAGGGGAAGAGTCAATGGAGACTACATCAAATATGAGCCCCAGGAGGATACAGGATGGGTTCAAGAGGATTACAAGGGAGAATAGGAATGGAAAGAACTTACAGCCAGAGGGAACAGGGGATAGACTGGAGAATAGCACCGTCATCAGGAAAAGGCAGGTCTATGTGATCGGGGACTCTTTACTGAGAAGAATAGACAGGCCTGTAAGCAGAGCTGATCCAGAGAATAGAAGGGTGTGCTGTCTTCCAGGTGCTAAGATACAGGATATAGACCTGAGGTTGAAAAGGATCCTAAAGGGAGCAGGAAAGAATCCCCTAATTATCCTTCATGTGGGAACAAATGATATGGCTAGATTCTCACTGGAAAGTGTTAAGGGAGACTATGCTAGGCTGGGGAAGACGCTTAAAGAAATCGAGGCTCAGGTAATCTTTAGCGGGATTCTGCCTGTTCCTAGAGAAGGGCAACAAAGGTGTGACAAGATTATGACTATCAACACATGGCTTAGGCAGTGGTGCTATAAGGAGGGCTTTGGGATGTATGGCCACTGGGAGGCATTCATGGAGAGAGGACAGTTCTCTCGGGATGGACTTCATCTGAGTAGGGAAGGAAATAGACTTCTAAGATGGAGGCTGGCACAACTGATTAAGAGAGCTTTAAACTAGGAATTTGGGGGAGATGGTTGGGAGATGTCCAGGTAATCTCCACGCTGGATTTTAGAATTGAGAGGGAAGAAAATGAAATAAGAAAGGATACAGCCATGGGTAGGAGAATGTACATAAGGATGAAGGGCAGTGTGGATACCAGTCTAATAGGTTATACTGGCTGTAGAATGACCGTGCCTAATAGGGTACAGAATGTGAGCGAGGCCAAACAGCAAAAATTAAGATGTTTGTACACCAATGCGAGGATCCTAGGTAACAAGATGGAGGAACTAGAGCTACTGGTGCAGGAAGTGAAACCAGATATTATAGGGATAACAGAAACATGGTGGAATAGTAGTCATGACTGGACTACAGGTATTGAAGGGTATGTGCTGTTTAGGAAAGACCGAAATAAAGGTAAAGGTGGTGGAGTAGCATTGTAGATCAATGATGAGGTAGCCTGTAAAGAAATAAAAAGCAATGGAATGGATAAGACAGAGTCTGTCTGGGCAAAAATTACATTGGGGAAGAAAACTACTAGAGCGTCCCCTGGGATAGTGCTTGGGGTGTGCTATAGACCGCCGGGATCTAATTTGGATATGGATAGAGCCCTCTTTAATGTTTTTAAGGAAGTAAATACTAATGGAAACTGCGTGATCATGGGACACTTTAACTTCCCAGATATAGACTGGAGGACGAGTGCTAGTAATAATAATAGGGCTCAGATTTTCCTAGATGTGATAGCTGATGGATTCCTTCATCAAGTAGTTGCTGAACCGACTAGAGGGGATGCCATTTTAGATTTGGTTTTGATGAGTAGTGAGGACCTCATAGAAGAAATGGTTGTAGGGGACAATCTTGGTTCAAGTGATCATGAGCTAATTCAGTTCAAACTGAACGGAAGGATCAACAAAAATAAATCTGCAACTAGGGTTTTTGATTTCAAAAGGGCTGACTTTCAAAAATTAAGGAAATTAGTTAGGGAATTGGATTCGACTGAAGAATTTATGGCTCTAAAGGCAGAGGAGGCCTGGGATTACTTTAAATCAAAGCTGCAGAAGCTATCGGAAGCCTGCATCCCAAGAAAGGGGACTCAAGGAGTTTGCTTGTTAAGCCTAACTAAAAGAAGGTTGAGGGGAGATATGATTGCTCTCGATAAATATATCAGAGGGATAAATACTGGAGAGGGAGAGGAATTATTTAAGCTCCGTACCAATGTGGATACAAGAACAAATGGATATAAACTGGCCACCAGGAAGTTTAGACTTGAAATTAGACGAAGGTTTCTAACCATCAGAGGAGTGAAGTTTTGGAATAGCCTTCCAAGGGAAGCAGTGGGGGCAAAAGATCTATCTGGCTTTAAGATAAAACTCGATAAGTTTATGGAGGAGATGGTATGATGGGATAACTTGATTTTGGTAATTAATTGGTCTTTAATTATTCATGGTAAATAGGCCCAATGGCCTGTGATGGGATGTTAGATGGGGTGGGATCTGAGTTACTGTAGAAAATTCTTTCCTGGGTATCTGGCTGGTGAATCTTGCCCATATGCTCAGGGTTTAGCTGATCGCCATATTTGGGGTCGGGAAGGAATTTTCCTCCAGGGCAGATTGGAAGAGGCCCTGGAGGTTTTTCACCTTCCTCTGTAGCATGGGGCACGGGTCACTTGCTGGAGGATTCTCTGCTCCTTGAAGTCTTTAAACCACGATTTGAGGATTTCAGTAGCTCAGACATAGATGAGAGGTTTATTGCAGGAGTTGGGTGGGTGAGATTCTGTGGCCTGCGTTGTGCAAGAGGTCGGACTAGATGATCATAATGGTCCCTTCTGACCTTAGTATCTATGAATCTATGAATATGGATTTAAGATTTTTAAATGTGTGGATTATCATATAAAAGCATGTATCTGCCTTGCCTAGAGTGGAGTAGAACATGGACACACTCAAAACAGGTGACGCCTGGATCTGCAAGTCTAACTGGACTCTTTGAATGTTAACTGAAGGTTAAAGTAAATAAGATGTTGTTCACCAGCATTTTAACTATCTTGTCGCCAAATTTAATCTGAAAACAGTGCATTAGTCACTAGAGGTCTGATCCAAAGCCCATGGAAGTCAAAGGGAATCTTTCCATTGACCGCAATGGACTTTGGATCATGCCCTTGCTGAGGATGCCCTCTGCTTACTATCAACAGCACAACATCTCAGGAAGTATTAGTGGGGAAAGGCAGGTTAACCAAATTCTGTAGGTGAGGAAATCTGGCATCTGGCCAGCTCCTTGAGGAAAGAATAGAACACTCTCATTTGAGTTAAATTATAGCCTCAAACATGAAGAAGATGGCATGTTTCCCCATAACAGAGCTAGTCTTGTCATCTGAAGATCCACAAATCTGAAAGCATGCCACAGTTTGGTAAGTCTGTTTCAAGTAGCAATACTCTGGTCTTCACAGCTGTTTTTAGAGTGAAATTCTTTGAAAGGAGCTGTTTCCTTGGGATTATTTTATTACAATATAGTTGTGTGGGAGCATGTCCAAAAGCATAGTTGAGAGTTATAACAGAAGTTGTAGCCATACACACTTCATATGTAAGCAGAGTCTGGATGAGCTCTCCCCTGACATCGAGTGGTGAGCTGTGGGAAAAAAAGACTTCAGAAGCTGATCTCATTTGCATGGACACATCCACCCGCCCTAGGTGCTCAGATGATGGGACTGCTTGCCCAAAT